ATGGAAATCATGGATTTAGAATCTTTGCCTTCAAGCAAAAGATGCAGTTTCTTATGGGTCACACGTCTCAGAAAAGCTAGGTCAGGGAGGTGGCACCCAGCAAATCAGCCCCTCATGTCACGATCTTAGTAAGACTCCTACCTAAACATTACTAGTAGTATTGCTAAGGTAAAAACGAATCAAGGGTAACTAGTGGGAAGCATAGGCCAGGCATTCAATCAGAGAGGTGGCCACCGAAGATGAAGGCGATGTTGTTCTCCAAATATCACTCAGCCAAACAGGAGAGGATTGAAGAATAAATACAAGAGACGACAACAACTTTAGAGAACGAGTAAAGCACCGGGTAAGAGGATTTCCTCTTGAACTTAATAATTGAAAAGCAAATTTACCTGGCTTCCTTTCTCCCTAGTTCCGTAAGTACTTACACCTTCGCAAAACTAGTTCTCGAACTACCTACCTCAGCTTCTCCTCAGCAATCTAGTCCCCCTTAATCCAGTAACTAATTTTCTACCCAACCAACGTTGCCAGTATTTTACCCCTCCTTCACCAGTTTGGATGCAGTTCTGTTCCATGACTTAGCAGAGTCTTTTTAATTCAAACAAAGACCTTGTATCCTTGGCATAGTGGCTGTCTCGACTGGACGTGGCCAAGACGACAAACATTTCGCTAATTACAACTTAATTGTTCTGGTCGCATTTAGCATTCTCTACGTTCTCCATTTAAGAGGGGGTTCGACCGTACCGGCTACAGTTTATACTGTCATATCTTCCTCAGGACTGCAGAAGATAGTATTATGCGTTAGACACTCTTCCCTTAAGGGCCTAACACTAAAGAGGATGTTGTTGCGAGTAAAGAAGAAGGCCTGTGGAGGTAATGAATCAATAGTGTTAATTTGTTTGACACTTTCAACTGAAGCTCTGGTGCTGAGACGCATTCCAAATGCCTCCTGTGTACAGTCTGAATTGCATTGAAGCCAAGTTAAGGCGTAACGTGCACACAAGGGAGATGCAAGGTATGAAGCGGTTATAAGTGAGGATTGTCTCACAATATCTACGAGGTTCAGCATGACATGTAAAGTGGTAGATGGTGACAGTTTATCCGTGACCACTTCATTTACGAGCGATTACCAAGGTACGACTACTGACATGCCTTAATAAATTGTCAACCTTGTAACATGGTCGTCAACATCTGAGTTGTCATCACCCACCGTATCGGTGTCACGATGTTGCACTTCTGAGCACGAAGCCAGACATCGGTTTGCTTGTCATGCTTGATGCTTGTTAATGTGTTGCATCTTTATAAAATGGCTGAGAATGTCAAAACAAAACCACGGTCAGTCACTCTACCGAGGGGCTTTGAATTACACTAGGACAAAGAAACTGGCTCATCCACTTCTTGGGAGGCTGAAAACTATTATTCGGTTCCCGTATTTGCCCTTGGATCTCTTTTAACTGGACAATAGGTTGCCGTTCTAGCTTAGTGATTTTTTGTGTTTATGATGTTAACCCTTTTCCCAGTAACGTTGTGCTTCCGTAAAACGGTTTTCACGCTCCCCATCTTGGCTATTTTTGCTACGTGCCTCATATGTGACATGTGTCCGTAACAACTAATGCTAACTGGGGTTGTAGCAAATCCAGTTTTGCCCGGTATGACCCAGAGAAAAACCTCGTGCGTGCCTGCAATGAGGTCAAGGTCAAGGACGTTCAAAGTGGTGCAAATTACGTGAGAATAAAATTATCTTGTGTCTCTAGTACCTAGCTGCTAATTGCGTATACAGTAGTGTCCCTCCTGCTTAGTCATGAAAGCGTGTCAGCGTGTTGAAGTTGCTGTGCCTTGATTGCCAACACGGTTTGAAGCTGACTTGATGATGTTCTAACGTGTGTGTCCAACTTCAGGGAAAGTTGATTTGGCCTGATCGACCCCCAAAAGAAGAAGGTCAAATACAGGTGTAATTGGAGAAAATGACAGGACACTCACTGATTAGCCTAAAGCACCTATTGTCACCTCACCCACTTGCCTCTAGTTATCCTCCAATCAACAAATTTAGAGCAGACATTCATTTCCACACAAAAAGTACTGCACCAGCATGCTGAAAATCAAATAGTGAATTAGGAGGAAAAATTACTTAAGTGTGATTTGTTTTGAAGTTGTTAAAGAACCAACGCTTTGAATGGATCAACTCCAACTTGAATGCAGAAGTTGACGTGGCAAGTGATGTGATGTGACGACGTCATGTCTGCATCTCTTAGCTTTGCTGAAGCCAAAATCAGAGGTGGGAAGGGAAGGAGGTTGTGTGCATGTGTACTGTGTCGTTGAGCTAAAGGTCAAGCTGTCTGAGGATAGCAATCGCATCTAGTCAAGCGAAATTACCATGGCCACAGACAATAAAACGCGACTTTGCACATGTACAAATCCCGAAAGATGAAGGAAGCTTCCAACCGAAGGTTGGCACAGATTTTGGTCAACATTAAGCATTACACAGCAAAAGTACCCTATCACCGCTTCCCTTATTCTGACGTTGCAACTGTAAATAGGATATCACATTTGTGCATCCAAATCTAGCATCTCTAATCTAGCAGCTGAGCTGGGGAAATGATCACTTTGTATCATGACGGATAAGCCAAAACTCAACTCGATACATCTCCAGGTGAATCGACGCACTTCCTTTTTATAGATGGTGCAACCCCGCAATGGTTGCTTTCATTTCCCTCTGTCAATGGCAGTCAATTTAGGAAACGCTTGCCATTGGCGTCGTTCGGTAACTTTTCAAATTCTACTCAACGTCCTGCTGGTGTGGAAGTTATTTTTAGACAAGCAGCACAAGACTCCACATCGATCTTCCATTTCATTTTGGTTTTTATAATAGCTTGCTTTTAAGGGTGTTCTAGTTGTTACGTGGAAGTTGCTCAGCATTCTTTGAACAGCCACATTGTTCTCACTCTGCAATCTATGGCCTTTGCTGCTTCTTTTAGGTAGAAACCACACATCCAATCTGCTGGCTCCCATGCATTTTCACCACCAGCAGCGCCCACCCCTTATCCACCCGTCGTGGGAGGCATGAGGTCTAACTGTGGACAATGGTATATTATAACAATACCGCAGCATGAAGATGTGAGATGCAGATGTTTACTGCAGCCAGCTACAGGATAAAGTGCTCTGTTAAGGTTGTCAGTGGTTGTCAGCGATCAGCAACGGTAGACACGGATATCAAAAGCTATACCCTATTTTGCTGTTTGTCTCCGAAGGCTATTGCCATAACTGAAGGCAAAATATTCTGATCCGTTTAAATTGAACTTCCACGTACAACAGTGTACTTTCACAGTGGTACTAATGAAGTCCGTCAGCTGTTTCACCATGGGGGCAAAAAATCATCTAATTCAAACATTATTAATGAATTTTTCCGGATTATCCATCTCTTTGTGAACTCCACCGTTCCATTCTGTGAGATATTGCTCATCATGTCACACGTAGGACGCTTTACGAATGGCGATGTCCTACAGCTATTTTGAGAAGGAGAAGAATTCTCCTAACACCAAAACCATATTGCTTCTTTTTCAATAAAGCTCGATCATCTAGCTAGGCTCTATCCTGATAACAGTAACATGAGGGAGGCATTCCCTCTCCGTCTAGCACATGCATCTTCGTACAGGTATGGTGGATGACCACACGATGGAAGATATCAAAGGTGTCAGGTGCAGCTTCGTTTTATTACTTGGTAATCTGACTATAGTACACGAGGTGACATTGGCAGCCTTCTGATCTAGGTCTTTCTGTACCCAACCACCTACAGATATAAACCCCTGTATTGCTTAGGCTTTGTGTGCAGCCGATGAGATATGAAGTATTGCCTTTTAAGTTAGGGTTTGGCCAACTAACTCTAGTTTCAATGCAGTGTCTGCCTTCCTCGAGGATATCACAGGATTATGCGTGTGGTTCTGTAAAGAACTTTTTCCCTTTCCTAGCACCCACGCTACAGTTCTCAATCCACAAGAGGCCACTACATAATCCACACATTTGTCGATAGACTATCAGCATATCAGACATGTGTGCTACCACATCCGCTTTATTCATTTCACGCAGTTGTTCAATGCTTCCATACCACACGATTGAAGGTGGTGAGGTGGCTGCTTTGTATGTCAGCCACTTCGGCAATGGCAACTACCGCAGATCCTGATCAATATGAGCATATTCGTGCAGAGTCAATAGAGTAAACATTCTGATAACTCGCTACACAGTGATATTTGTCGACGTGAGTGTTAGACTCTGACACCAATTGCATGAAGGCATGGAAGGTAGTTGGACGCTGCCACTTCAACTGTCTGTCTTGAAACGGTTCATCTCGAATCAGATATCTCAACCGTCTCATTTGTGACTTGTGTATTCAGTGGTGATTTACATTTTGACATATGACGCCATATCGGATTGCCACGGCTGAGGCGTAATATGGTGTTTGATGACCCGACGATCACCCTAAGCATCTGCCATGATCATTACTCATGACAAATGTCACGACGATGATCAACTGGGCGACACTCTATGCAGTCTGACTTAATGTCATTTCGTGGCGATGTGTTTAACGAACAGCCGGTGATGTGTCCTTTATGGGATGGCAAATCACCTGGTGGTAACCACTTAACCATCTGCAGTTATATGTGAGATGTCAACTTCCTACTTTAGTTTGGTCCACCGGTTCTTATGCCTTATTCTCCATGGTATAATCAGGTGACTGTAGCAACTTCTCCTTTCCTATTTAAAAAATTTACAATTGCGAAGCCCTTATCATTCTTTGTATGACAATTGCTTTGGGATTCTCAATCAGAGATTGGGATGATGTGGAGTGGAGTTAAGGAAATCAGACTATTGCGAAGAGCAATGAAGAGCAGACTGTACACATTTGGAGTCGATTAAACAACTTTATTCCTTTTGGAATTCCTCAGAAGATGTATAGTGATCCTTTTGTAAATTCATTTCTGCGCGCTAATTATGCGAGTATCTTAGCAATTGTGAGCGCAAGAAAATGGATTCTAATGATTTTTAAAGGTGTCAATTCTGTAACTAGCATTATCTAATTTGAATGCTAGACATGAGTGGTCAATTTCAGTCAAATGATAGACCAATCACCATACACGGATTCGATTCTCATTTGACACTGATTGGAGGCGAGTGATGGTTGAGTGGTTGGACGAATAGAAATCAATTTGGTCTGACTCAGCCATGCCAAACCAATGATAAACAAGGATCCTTATTTGGTAGCCGCTTAAATAGTGCATGTTTCACTCTGTATCCTCGTATTATCAGACGTCACTCACCACAGGCATTAGGTTCAATGATGGGCGACTTCAATCCGGTCGATTCTGGTGAGTGCCATTTCTACGTAGTTGACTGTTCTAATGTTTGAGTATGATGCCTAGTAAGTGACCCCTGACTTGAAGTAAAATATTGTCCTAATTGGTCCTGCAGAACATGTCGATACAGCATTGATTTGTCGTGTGCCAATTTACTGCTTTACTGCTTCACAATGTACGGTAATACAAGTGATGTTTTAAGGACTAGTACTTGTCAACCGCACTGAATGCGTACATGTCATTAGTTATGCGTATGTGATACACACCAAGTGTGACATCCATGTGCAGCAGCACTGCTCTTCATTCACCTTCTAAAGCGAAATACGTCCATGTTTGAAGAGGTGTAGCTATTACTTCGAGGAATGATTTCGCGTTGCGGCTTTAAATGATCTTGTGACATTGCAGCCTTCCTAGTGTACTCTTGACCGCATCATTGTGACTTAAGTGGTGAGGTGGGTGCATGCGCCTGTCTGTCTGACACCTCTAACCACAAAATTACATGTCTCTCACCTCAAGTGGAGACTTCCAACATGACATCTACACGACTGGCGTTTTGATGCCTTCCATAAATTGAAACACTGCTTCATTTAAACTGTAGAATACATTGAAACAGTGGGCCTCAATAAGGGTGTAGATGGGGGTAAAGGCGTGTTCATGTTTATGGCATATTTGAGACAAGGAAATAACCCTGTGACTACTGGGCGTCATATCATACGCAGGTACAATCCTTCATCCCATAGAAAGGACACATCTTAGAAATTGGAGTAAGCTACGAACGCTCATTTGTTCGGTTTATTCATTCAATCCATTCTATTTTCTGGAAGCCAAACACAGCCAACACAACAATGCCGATGACTCGGAGAGGTGTGAGGAAGAACCTATCCTCTCTCAGCATTCGATGTGCTCCTTCCACACCTACAAATGGGACGAGTTTAAGGAGCACTGGCAATGTGAAGTGGAAAAGCGGGCCAGAAAGGAAGCAGAAGGCAGCTTTCCAGGCACGTCCAAGAGGCGCTCAGAATGCAGTGCACGAAAAGTGGAGCAATCTGAGCAGTTAAAACGATTTCGATGCTCATTTTGTGGCTACCGGTCTAATTGGAAGTCAGATACCGGCAAGCATATTAGGGTTGCCCACCCCCAACTCTCGAATGTCATCATCCAAACCTTGAGTCCCAAGACAGCGAGAGCATCGCTATCAGAGTACTCCAGTGTGCTGAGAGTTCAGAAGCAGAACGGACGTAGAGAGGGCTACATTCGGCCCTACATATGCTCCGTCTGCGGATACAGGTGAGCGAATTCTTTGAACAATGCTTTATGGATGCATGACAAAGTCTGTCGCGTTAAGTTTGACAATCCGTAACCCATGCCTTACATTTGCTTAGAAGCAACTGGACTACCGATGTGAAGAAGCATATCCAAAATATACACTCTGGCAAGGGAGTGGTCAAGAAGTTAAACACCGAAGAGGCGAGTAGCACCATCGATGAGTACTTGTTACGAAGAGGACGGAATCGGAGTGTTTGCCACACCACTGGACATTTAAGTGGCACAAAGAATGAAGAGGTGGGACACTACTTAGCACTACAGTAACTAGCTGATATATCCCACACAATGTCATTTCATCACTTGACTGATTTTGACGTTATTTGCAACATTAACAGCCTAATCACTATCACTGTGGTACCGCAATCGCAAAATCTGAATGTTTAATTACAACTTCTTTAAAACGGGTGCCTTGTAATTGCCACCTTTAGCCATCTCCCCATTTTCCACTACTCGAAAAGGCCCCTTTTAACAAAGTAGCTGTCACAGGAAATAATTACACTTGCGTTAGTCCACAGGAAGTGATTTAGCTCAAGGAGAGTTATTGGAGGTTTGTGATGCGTGCTTCTAGCGTCTAGCAAACAAAGGCAAATGTGGTGGATAACCGGATCGTTCTGCAGTATTCTAATACAGTTACTAAAATGTTCCATGTTCTTGGTGCAGGTGGTCGAGTCTGAAAGAGCACAGCAAACACCCATGGTGGAGCCTCTCTTGACCGATGGCGTGGTGTCACAGTGGCAGTCGCCCTCTTCACTGTCACTGCCATTGTCTCAGCCATCCCCACTACCACCGCTAAACCAGGTGGGAACGTCAAATCACCGGAGAAAGGGTCGAGCACCGCGACGCTTGACGGTGGTGGCGTTGGGTCCAGAGAGTGACCGTGTATCCTCCCCTAGACGAAATGGGGAAGAGGCAGCTGACAGTGAAAGACATGGCTGAAATCCAGGCTCAACTGTACCACAGCAGCCAGAAGCAGGGTGCTTTCTTTAAAACTGCAGTTTAGATGAGGCCGGAGCTTGTGGACAGCGTTGATTCCCCTTTTTCTACTATCAACCACTCAGACTTCCACAGTTTTGCTCCCGCTATCTAAATGCCGGGTTTTCGTTGTGATATTTTTCTAATTAAAATCTGAGTTACTTCTGTGGAGCGAGTTTTACCTTGTAGACGAGAGGAGACCTCATCATTTGTACGAAATCTAATGGTCTAATGAAAGTCCCTTGGCTGACGGTCTGGTCTTAGAGGTTTTCTTGCGATTCGAATAAGGTGTGGATTGTATTCCTCCATTGCATTATGAGATGGATTGAAGCACTTCGAGAGCCAAAATAGTGGATAGGGGTTTACACATGCCTATATCACTGCTCTGGTAATGACACGGTTCGTAGACCCATCATCCGGTTGAAATGAGCACAGAGGAGTGTCCTTTAGATAGGTTTTGCAAAGTTAGGTGGGTGGGTGATCGAGCGAGTCAGGGCTTATTGTCACTTGCTAAAATTAGCTCAATCAGTTTCAACTAAGTCAGTGGATAGTGCCACTTCATTGAGGGTGTCGCCACTTTTCTGCTGCTGCTCCGCCATTAAATTTGGCAGTAATGGGCAGAGAAATTGGAAATGTGGTGTAATTACTCCATCATCATGTGCCACCTAGGCGATGACGTGATTGAAGCAGGTAGGTGAACGTCAAGGGATATAAATGGAATAAATGACGTTACGAATGTAGTGATCACGCAGCACACTTTTATTGCTCAGAAGGAGATTTGGAAAGGTTATGAGTGAAATCCCAGGCGTCACTTATCACGTCAACGAACGTCCCCGTGTAGTAAAGCATCACTTTGTTCTACTGACAATGGAGAACTTGGTCCAAGTCGATCAGGAGTCGCGGTAGTCGCTATGGCCAAAAAGTTTGGCCTTTATTCATGTAATTTGGAAAAGTGTAAGATGTTTATGAACAGGATCAGATAGATGTGAAGAAACGGGCGCCTGGTCTGAGTGTTAGATTTTGCCATGAAATGCATGAAGGTATGATAGTTGGCTAGACGCCGCTGCTTCAACAAACTATTATGGATTCGGCTAAACTCGAATCAGATGTCTCACCTATCTCAATTGTCACATCTGCATTTGGTGGTGAGTCATGCGCTAGCTTATGACGCCACACTAGTATACCATGAGTGAGGGGATTAAGTGGTGACTGATGTCCCGATAGTTGACCTGAGCATCTGTCATCATCATTGCTCATGATGCTTCTTGTGGTGATGGCTCACTTAGTGTTACTACACAATTTGACTTAATGTCATCTGAGAGGATGTGCTTAACGGGTGATCAGTGAGGCGTACTACATGCAACAGCAGGTCATCTGGTGACAACTCCTTGGCTATCTAGAGCAGAGTATATCTTGTATCACAGATCTCGTCAATAAGTGATTTGGCAGCGGACCCCTCGGTTTGCCCAATCTCACCATGATCACTAAGTGTAGGTGATGTCGTGTGTCAAATTACTCTCCTGTCCACTTTTTCTAAAGTCATCTTTTCCATGGTGGAGTCAGGTGACTGGGATTACCTAAGCATTCTCTTTTAAGAACTCGCACCTGCACAACCCTTGCGATTTTTTGTTTATTACCTGATCTAGTATTTCCAACCAGAAATTGGGGTAGGAGGGTAGGGTTGCGCACAGCGGGATAAAACTAAATGGACTTTATTTTGTTGGAATTGAGCTGAATATGTTCAGTGTAATGTGTCTCAAGGTTATTCAGTGTAGCGTTAAAGGGCGTTAGTCATAATGGACGTGTAAATGATAGAGCTGCAATTAGTTTGCTGGTTGAGCGATCCATTAAATGCAATGAGGCAGGAATGGCCTCTGAGACTGCAGGCGCCTTGGGTTCCTCTTCCTCACCTCTACTCCTTTCATAACGAGGAACGCTACTGTTACTGATGGCGTGGGACAATCGACATACCAGTCATTAGGGTACAAACAACAATGGCAGTGTGTGTGTACGCTGAATAACGTGTGGCAATGAAAGTAGGCCAACAACACACAGATGTCTAGTCGTAGGAAATCCTTTAAAATTTGTATTTTATAATGACATGCCTATCAAAATAATGCTTTCTCTCTTTACTAAAAATACTGCAATTATCCATGTAAGCACTTAGCTGGTACGTGTAACTCCCGATCCTGGATGATATACACATAACCAGTTGCAAAATTGGTTGAGGAAGCAACAATTTTGTGTTTAGTCAAAGTGTGTTGAATGAAAAACTGATTTACTACTACTCGCATTTGTTTAGGTAATATATATTTAACCCAAAATACTGTAAAATAAGTAGCTGATTTTGTCAACATTGGACTTTATCAGGGCATCGACTATTAGTCCATATACCTGTCTAACTAACATCCATCCATTTCACATGTATTTGATTTACTTAGAATGAGATGGATATCCGTGGGCAATTGCTGTATCTGATTCAACAGTACAGTTAAAGTTGTCTGTTGATTTAGAGACAATTTATAGTGAAAATGCAAATGAATGCTGGAGTATGTCTGCAAGACTATGTAAATGAAATAATTGACAGTCATCTTTCTGGTCTTTTTAAAGGTAGTTAGGCGAATACAGACTGTTTCTGCACTTCTACATACCTTCCATTTAAATACATTATTTTTACTCCGAATGCCAAAAACATCCACATTTATTGCATTTCCGTTGCCCCAATGCATGCCTCATTAGACCGTAGATAATAGACAGGTCTGCTCACAAGCGAGAAATTATAATCGACTTACAAGCATTGGAGAAATATCGTGCGGACAACAGGTAGGATGAGGATGCGGATAAGTGAAAGGGGTATTCCGTTGCCCAAACTCGAACCACAAATAAAAAGTACTGCTATTAGTGTCTACTTACTCAATTAGTAAACCAAGATTTCGTGATTTTTAACGATGTATTTTGAAATTACCTTTTGATTTTGTTCAATTCATTTATTACTGAAGCACAATAAGTTATCGATGTAAAAATTAAAATAAGAAAGATTAAGTGTCTGTTCTGCCATGGCTACACTGACTGCATTGTGATCATCTCAGTGGATGAAACCCGCTTGCAATCTAATCACTCTGGTGAATAATCCATGCTCCAAAATATTAATTATTACCAACTGTAAATAACTGGTACGATTTGATGACCATTTGTTAGTAAATTGCAGTTATTAAAGGTCGATTCTAACTTACCATTTGGTAAAACTAAGCTAACGTGAGATTTGATTTAACGAGGCATTAGGATTGGTTAGTGAAGGCGAGTCCATCATCATGCCGAGAATATTCAAAATATTAAGGGTGTTACCAAGCCAATCAGTGCTTGCAA